GGAAGAGAGAGGGAAAGACAGAGAAACATCGATGTGACTCACATCGATTGGTTGCTTCCTACAGGAAGGAGCCCCAACCAGGGCCAGGGCCAGGGAAGAGTCCAACCAAGGTACGTGCCCTTGACCAGAATCGAACCCAGGACCCTTTGGCCCGCAGGCCAATGCTGTATCCACTGAGCCAAACTGGCTAGAGCTGAAGCAGTGCCTTTAACTTCAGCTTGCTCGTGGGAGCACCCATATCATTTCCTCTTTGGTTAACATAGCGTTCAGGTTATTGGGGATTTCGGTGGCATCATGGGGTTATGTCCTTGAGGTGATGGTAGTTTTTCTGCTCTTCCCTGTGGAGGGTGAGAGGGAGGGACATGATGGTCAATCCTAGCAGTCCTCTTTTTAAAAGTTGGGAACATAGGCTGGATATACCAGTAGACCATCGGCTTTCTCTGCCAGGATCTTTCCTACCTGGAAGACAGAGACCCTCAAACCCCAAGGGAAAGGGGCTTGGAGGGAAAAAAGCCCCAAGCACCTAGCCCTCAAAATTACCTGCTCATGAGAGTGGAGGGGAAATGAATCTTGTACCCATTTGTCACGTTTCCGGGGAGGGTGGTTACTAACTTGGGGCGCACTCGGAGATGACCGGAAAGGTGCAAAGTGGTGTTTATTGTTTAGACATCTAGCAGAGAATAGCCTCATCTGTGCGATCCTGTTTCTATTTCTCCCTCTTTAACCTGGGCCACTTCTTGGGCACAGGCTCCTTGTCGACCTCCAGCCACATCCTGACGGGCAACGAGTCCCTCTGAGCACCTTCAGGGGTGGCAGCCTGGCTGCACAGAGCCTCCCAGAGCTTCTGTTTGATGGCCTTGCCCAGCTCCAAGCTGTACCTCTTGGGGGTCCCCGAAGGGTTCCACAGCATCGGCTCGACCACAGCATGGTACAGAGCCCGGTAACCCTCTGTGGGCAGGCCGTGGATGGTTAGCATGTCTGACAACTGTTGTCTCTTCCTGGCTTCAGGAAGCAACGCCTGGCCCTTCCAGGCTGCTGTCCCCGCGTCCCTGCGTAGCGCTTGGGTGGCGGCCACATGTTCGGCATATCTGCTCTCAAGATCTTGGCTGACTGTTACTTTTTCCTCCTTTGAACTTTCTTTACTCTGGCCAGGAAGAAAGCAGAGAAGTCAAAGCTAAAACTTGAGAAGGGAGCTCAGAATAATTATCTGGGATTTGTGTCCCAGAGTCTTGGTTACAGCCACAACCAACATTCGTCTAGTAGTGTGTGCGAGCTTACTGAATTCCTCCGTGTATACCACTGCGTGCGTCCCCCCCGGAACCCTGTAAGGTCGGCAAGAGACAGCTTTAAAGGCAAGGGAGCGGGAATTGGTTTGCCCAAGGCCACACAGCTAGAAAGTTAATAACCACAGTTGTTGTCTACTGAATGCCACAACAGGATCCTAGGC